TCAGCCACATTTAGTCTTGGTTACATGACGGATTTGCACACTCAAGATGTGCCCAGAATCTCATCAATTAGGCACAATTAGCCATTGCAAGTTAAATGTTACGCAAACATTAATAGGATTCAGTCCCTTACATATGTATTAGTGCTTTTGCACCCAACCTTTCCTCCACCGACCTCAAGGTGGCATACAGGGCTTTCCTCTCCCCCTCTATTTTCACAAGAACCCTGTGAGGTCGGTTATACTGAGCGATCATGACTAACTCAGGGAAGTTTTCATTCAGCTTCAAATTGGTGTTGGTACTCCAGTTACCAATTGCTCTCTCCCCCCCCCAAGTCTTTACTATAGGTTTTAAGGGTGTACCATGGTTCACCTTTTTAAAAACATGTTTACATTACACTGGAATTATTTGGGAAACAATGGTGACACTGATTTCTGTTCACTTTCAGCCACATTTTATTTGTTGTTGTTTTTTTACAACAGGACACATTTCTATTATAATAATCTCAAGGGAGGGGTGTTGCAAACCTCTAAATGTGATCAAAGAAAAAAAAAAAGAGTTTCCTTCCCACAGAAGATTATTTGATTGCTGCCCAGGATCCTGTCCTCATGGGAAACAGCAGAGAAGGGCAGTATAAGAACCCAGAGTAAAAGCAACTTTCTGCCTTGTGAACTTCCAGCAGTTTGAAACAATATTTTAAAACATGGTAGCATCAAGCGTGTAGCTCGCCATGCAATCCTATGCAAGTTTACTTTGGCATAAATTCCACTGAAATTCACTGGTTTTTATCTAGGTAAGTCTTCAGGCTAGAATCGTAGGCCAGTTTAATTATGCCTTTCAAGACCTGTTGCTCTAAAATACCAAGGCTGTTTGTTATAAATGGTGGGGTGGGGAGGAATCTTATCAGCTTCATGCTGGCAGGAGTTTATGGAGTTTCCCAATAGTTGTCATAAGGCAAAATTTCAAGGCACCATGGAATATATGGTGAATTATGAGTGACTGACATACCATGTAACAAAGATTCCTAAGTTTTGGAGTATTTCTTAAGTGTCTCAGATGTTTCAAAGGAAGATCTTGTTCAATCCACTTTCTAAGATTAGAATGCATTGGTGATGACCCCTACATACCACAATCCTATATCCTAAATGTACTGAGATCAAGCCATTGTGAGTTGAATGGAATATATTTCTGAATGGACTAGCTCAAAATTGTGGGCTGCCTCTTCCACACATGCTCTAGAACAGTGGTCCCCAACCTTGGGCCTCCAGATGTTCTTGGACTTCAACTCCCAGAAATCCTGGCCAGCAGAGGTGATGATGAAGGCTTCTGTGAATTGTAGTCTAAGAACATCTGGAGGCCCAAGGTTGGTGACCACTGCTCTAGAACAGCCATCCTCAACTGGTGCTTTTAGTTCTCATTGGTCCTGGAATCACAGAGATTCTATACCTCAGTGGAAACAAAAATCAATAATTTAAGATATGCAAATAATACCATCTTACGGGCAGAAAGTATCAATGACTTTAAGTCACTTTTTTCTAAAGCAGTGGCCATGCTTGCTGTCATTAGGGAAACAAATCCTTTGCTTTGGCTGTGGTAGCTGTCTGCACAGTCAATGTCCTCCAGTCCAACTCTGGAACTTTGCCTGCCCTCTGTCTTATTAAGGCAGTCCTGTGTACTTTAACCCTGACGTTATGGAGCAGTGGGCAAATATCTTGCCGGCTGTGATGTCTTCAACAGAGACCATCTCCACTTTAGTAGAGATGCCTAATATTTCCTTGTGTGAAATACTAGCTGGATAGCTCAGTGGTTTAGGTCTCTGGCTGCAAAGGTTGGGACTTCGATTCCCCACTGTGACTCGTTGACAGGGCTGGACTTGATGATCTTGTAGGGTCCCTTCCAGCTCTGCAGTTCTAATGTTACTATTATTATAGTTCTTCTCTTTATACATAATGCACCCGGAAGTGTTAGTAGTACTAGTAAATGCTGGTATTTTAGTATTATGGTATGTACAGTAGTAATGGTATGATGGTCAATTTATTTTATTTTGGCAATTTAGTAATGGATGCCGTCTCCTCTCTTCCCTTTAAAGTTCTGTGCCAAGAAGCATCACCGTTTGTGCACACCAGCATCCTCTGCTGAAATCTAGTTGTCATAGGCTGCCAATGGTTATGTGTTAGGAGTTTCAGACAATTTTAATTACTTTAATTACTTTGATCTTTAGTAATATTAAAACCCCAATGTTCTTTTATAGTTCCTTCCTTCCTTCCTGGGTAATCAAGCAGTTTTTCCTTCCCTTTCCACACTAAAGCAGACTGGGTTGAAAAAGTGATGGTTGCTTCAACTCTTCTTGCCAAAAAGGGACTACCTGCATCATATAGAAACAAATTACATGCCTATATTAGCAATTATATGGCAAACCTGGAAATTAGAAATAGAGTCAGTGCAGTATAGTGGTTAGAGTACTGGGTTAGGATTTGGGAGATCTGTGTTCAGATCTCCACTTGGAAATGAAACTCAGGTTACTGTAAATAAAAACTGCTCTGAATTCAGCAACAGTTAACAATCCATTGGATTACTCTGTTGGGAATTTAATTATGGCAATAAAATTGGGACCCTTAAATGCCTATTACAGTTTGCTTTCCTTGTGCTCCCATTGAGGGGACAATTTACGGAGGAATAAAGCTTCTCTGAAGGACACCAGTAATAACTAGAGTACAGTATAAAAATCTTGCTGATTCAGTCAGGTTTTCTGTATTCACAGGGTGCCTTTGTATCAGCCATTGCAATGATCAGGGAAATCTATACACCTGGCAATTGAGATCTCAATTGTTGGGTAGAAAATGGCAGACTTTGTGGTTTTTCAGTCAATGAGTGTGGATGCTTGTGCTTTTGCTGATAGCCTTCCGTTTAGGCAGTGATGTGTCTGCTTCAGGGAGCAGATTCTGGGTGTCATCAAAGGACATCAAATCGTTACTTACATTGCAATTTTTGCATGTTTACTATGAGGGATGGAGAGAGATACTGGTGGTATTTGCCTTGAGTGTAAAAATGTCTTGGGGTATTCTGTACCTTAATTTGTGTGTGTTGTGGCATTGCCTTAGGCAGCAAATGCTATGAGTCACCTCTGCCTGAGGAAGGACGCCTTGTGAAGCTTGTAAAGCTACTGGTTTTTCTGAATGCACCCAGGAATCATATCACGTGGCAACTGGTATGTGCAGAGTAAACAAAGTTGATTTATCTCTCTTTGGCTGCTAAAGTGCTACTGAAAACTGGATGTTGTTGACCTCCCTGAGGGTTGGCCAGTTGGTTTTATAAGACTGCATGTTTGGTCTCTGAGACAATTATGCAATATAGAAAACTGAGTCCCATCCACCCCTCTGTAAGAGGAAATATCAGCAAGATAGTACTCTACGTCATTCTACATTTGTACCCAAATGCGATGCAAACCGTCTTGTCATCTTCCTATCAGCCCCACTGCCATTTAAAGCAGTATTTAAATTACTGGCACCAGCAGTATTTGAACAGTCTTTCCCTTTGTGCAGTGGGACATTCATCCCCACAAGCTACCCTCAGCTAGCCCACTCCTACTTGCCTCCTTACCATAGGCAGAGAGGTCAAGAACTCCCTTCTGTTCCTCTGCTGCTAAATTCCCAGCCTCAACACATTTCATAGGAGTAAGGAGAAAATGGACAAAAGAAGATGAACCATTAAGACAACTCCCCAGCTATGAAACCAAGCAGAGAGGGAAGCAGCATCAGGAAAGAAGATTTCTAATCTGGAGGACAGGTTGTATTTATCTACTCAGTTGAGTCGTCAGCTGAATCAAGGTGGTAGGAGTGAAACTCTATCTGAGCTAATATCTGCCTGCCTTTTTGTTTGTCTGCATATGCATGAATGCTTGCAGGCATATCTGCCTGTGTGTTTGGTTGTGCATCTTTGTATATGCTTCTGTCCTGGCTCTTCTTATCACGCTGGTCCACTCATGATCGGCTGATGTGCCATTCACACGCACCCTCCAGCCACAAAGGGCACCACCTACCATTGCCCTCTCCAACTTTACCTCCCCACAGTTCGTTCTTTCAGGCAGTTCCTCCTTTTCATTGTTCTGTTATTAGAAGTGATTTGGGAATGGTCAGATATGAATACAGTGGGGTCTCGACTTATGAACGGCTCGACATACGAACATTTCGACTTACGAACTGCTCTCATAGGAATATATGAACTCGACCTACGAACTTAGATTCAAGTTACGAACTCTTTTTTCCCCTTTTTTTAAAAGCCACGTCATCTTAGGTTAGAAGGAAAAAGAAAAAATATCCCCCTCTAGTGGCAGAAGGCAGAATAGCAGCTTCCTATTAGTTTCTATGGACGAAAAGAGCAGATACGGATTAAATGGTTTTCAATGCATTCCTATGGGAAATGCAGATTCGACTTAAGAACTTTTCGACCTGAGAACTGCCTTCCAATACGGATTAAGTTCGTAAGTCGAGACCCCACTGTAGAGAGGAGGGGGGAGATAAGGTGAAGGAGATGTGAAGGTTTAGCTCTCGCCTCCAGTGTGACTTCCCACCACCACCACACTTTTAAGATAAACAGACCACACACACCCAGCCTTGTTTGTGACCAGGGCAAACACGTATCAAGAAACAATGACATATACGGCCATAAATGGCACTTTGTTTCAGTAGACTATTCATTATTTCAGTATTATTTTCACATTTCTCCTAATTTTAAAAATATCTCATTCTGAAAGGGGGGGATCCAGAAACACATCTCATGTCTATTGAGGGAGCACAACAAAAGAGTTCCTGCTTTCTCCCTGATCCCAGCTTCAGCATAGCTAAGCTAAAATATGAGACATCAGGGCTGCACGAGGATTGAAGTATTTCCCCCTCAGCTGCAGGTGGCTCTAGGTTGGTTACTGTTTTCCAGTGGTGAGAGAAATGTGATCTGTACACACTCCCCCCTAGACCTTCTATTGTTTACTATTTCTTCACAGGGTTCAGTGGTCATTTCTGGTGTGAGCTGGAGCAGAGCAGAGTGCCGAGAACATGTAATGAATCTGCAAAATGATGTCTCCTTTCCAGCAGTGGTAATCGTCAGCTCCAGAACAAGAGAAGTAAAACTGAAGAAGAATCGGTGAAGATGAGGAAACGTGGCATCACTTTGATATGAAGTAGGTTGACACCAGGAGCAGAAAAATCCTCCATTCACAACTGATCAGAGTAAGCACCTGGCAAATGTCTGTGGGGAATGCTGCATTATTAAATTAATAGTTATGGTGACCTTCTAGGTCTTCTTTATTTCAAACATCATCTCTCTTTTTCTGACACCTGCTCTCTCTAGGCAAATGTACATGCTTGATTAATTGTGCTAATAGGAGTCATTCTTAAACAGTCCTTTTTAATGCTTAATTCCTGGAAGACTTCTTTTTCTCAGTATGTGACACACACATTAGTAATAGGTGCTAAAACTCCAGGTTTAGGTTGCTGCTGTCAGGACCAATCAATCTGCAGTCTCTCAACTCCTCATTACTTGGGCCACACAAAAGACTGACATATTTTCTCAGAGAGAGCTCGGTGTTTCACTTCCTGCAGCCAAAGGATGGGAATAATAAAAGATCATGATTGAAGTCCTTATACCTTGCCTTTACCTTTTTTAAGGTGGAGAGAAAGGTGTGTGTGTGAGAGAAAATATTCTCTGAGGTGGGACAAAGAATCACAAGGAATCCAATGCTTCTGTTCCTATATTGTTGCACACGCTGTTCTTTGGTAGAACAATGTATTCCAGGCAGGGATCTTTCTCTGTCCTACCTAAAGATACTACGGATTGGACTTGAGACTTTCTACAGGCATATCCTGTGGTCTTCTCTTGAACAAAAGTATTTCTCCCACAAGATTGGAGGAATTTTTATCTACCTGACCAGGGCATCCCATTAGATATAACTTCCCCTTTGTATTACTAAAAGTAAATTATGTGTTGGCCAAGGAGAAAAAATAGCTATGGTTTGTTAGGTCCAAGAGGAATAACATAGTTGCATTCTAATATGCCATTGCCGGGTATCATGTTTTTACATAAATTGCACCTTGCAATATCTTTCTGAAGTTGCATGGACTTATTCTGTGATGTTCAACACATGGAACCAAAAAACTTTTGAACAATTGATTTATTTTTTATTGTATTTTCACTGTTAGGAAAAAGGAAAGATTCTTGGGGTCCCCCCCCTTCATTTATGTGTTACGATAACATCCTGCCTTTGGGTACTCTTCAACAACACAGAGGGAGACACCATTTTAAAAATAATCTTGGGCCACCCCTGGCAAGAATTGTGCCCGGAGAGGGAGTAAAAATGGCCCACAGGTAGCAGGCTTCCTCTCATTGTTGCCAGGTCAGTAGCACCCCATTCCTTGAAATTCAGGGCCAAAATATAAGACTAGGGGTGGGTGAGGTTTGTGATGTCACAAAGGTGGGGAAGGCAAGCATTTGGAAAGAGTAAATGCGTAAAAACATTTTTCTGTGGCAGTCCCTGCAGCAAATGGATTGCCACCATTCTCACTGGGACATAGCTTCCACATAATCTTAAGTACAGCACATGGATGTGGGCTCAGAGACCTACAGAATCACAGCCTTGACTACTTTTAGTACTCTGAGATCCGGCAACCATACTGATTTTTTCCAATTGAACTTTTTTTTCTTTCCTTATTGCAAGTCAGATTTATACCTACTAAAACAAAGGTAGAATATGAAGACTTCATCTTCTCTTTAAGGCTCTATCCTTTCCTATATTCAGTTTAATGATTAGTTTGCTTCCCACCTGCTTTGGAGTTTGAAGGAGTGGTTTCCTGGTGTAAACGTGTAGTAAAACAGGGCTCGGACTGCAGAATAGGAAGTAGATACATGATCAAATATCCCTTTCAGACACTGGTGTTGAAAGGAGTGTTTTTGAGAAATGGTTTTTTGAAGTGTAAATTTGTTAGATCAATCTTTTAAATTTTAAAAAAAAGGAAGGCGAAGGGTGTTTTCTTGATGTCATTATGACATGTTTGTATGTAGCTAAGCAGCAGGAATGAAGCAGGCATATTTGATAGCCAGCCAATAGGACAAAAATGTACATTATTCAGAGGCATTCCAGAGCAGTGAGTACTTTAGTCTCTCCCCGTGTATATTTAAACAAGGCTTGTGCAACTGATGATGACCCACTAGGCTGAATCAAGGCCAGCAGCCTCCGCCTCCCACCACCACTCCTCATCTCTGGGCAGTGCCTGGCAGGCAGAGAGCAGAAGGCGCCCTGGGCCCCTCGTGAGCTCTTGGAGAAGGTTAGTGAGCTGCACTTCACTTGGAGGCTCACATGAAGCATGTGACCTCATCCTAAACACTTGGGTGGACTTCCTTTCACCTCTTGCTCCCACCCTATAGCTCCATCAACACAGTTCTTTGTACAACTGGATGCTTTCTTAATTTTTTAATACATGCCATCATTGATGCATGTGGAGGCTTTTTGGTCACTTTGATTTTAGCAAGTAGAGAAGAGTATACCACTTGTGTATACTTGTCACTTGAGTAATATACCATCCGAAAGTGTCCCATAGGCTATCTTGCGGCTCTCAGTGATGGGCTTGTTTCTCCAAAACACACACAGAGTCGCAGCCTCAGTGTGATTCAGGGCCCCCATGGCTGCTTCAAACCAAAGCAAACCAAGACTAATCAAATACCTGCCACACCACATGACCTGCCTGTTAAAATGGCAAGACCTGAGAACTGTTTTACACGTGCCAGTTGTATAGAAAACAAGAGATGAAGACCAAAGTTGTTATCCCATTGCATAAATGCAGAGCAGAAGGAAAAATCCCATATACATCCCTTCTGCCCTGGCAGACTCCCCACTGCACGACTGATCTCTCAATTAATGAGAGAAATGGGAATGCGATAGGGAGCTTCCTGGAGGAGGGAGAGAAACTTTAATAAATTCCCTTTTGCTCCACATCAAGGCAACATGGTGCTAGCCCACCCCTCACTCCCAAATTCTTTGCAATGCTGGACAAATTACCAAAAGTTGTAAGAACAATACATAAACTAAAGTTTCATTAAAATGTTCTATTCAGAATGTTACTAATTAAATACACAAGGTTGGGCCCAAACCTAGTCTTTTTTTAAAAAAAATAGCTAACATAAACAAACTTGGTCACTTAAAACTCATTGAGTTCTATGAGTTTGTTCTCTGTATGACTAAGTCTGGATCTAATCCAGGATTCTTTTACTCATACAGAATTGTTTACTTCCAACAGTATTATCACTTGTATTGGTGGCCAAACCCCAATTATTTAAAGAAGAATGTTTGTCATCTAGCTTAGTGTCCTGATTATCTTTACTTTTCAAAAATCATAGCGCAAATTCTGCAACTGTGGTTCACAGTTAAGATTCTGAGTTGTGACTGTTTTAGGGGTGGAGTACTAAGTGATTATTATGAGAGAAAATAAGAGCAACCCTAAATCAGGATTGAAAGTGGAAGTAGATAAAGCAACTTGCCTACATTAGCCTCAGTCCTATAAACACAGTTAGTGACTTACATCTGAGACACCTTAGGGCCAGTCTGTTAATAAAATATCCCTTCAATCCTTAGTACACACTATGGTTTCTTTATTTCAAACCTTTTCATCATATGTTGAAAACCTGGTGTGGTTTTCAGTGCAGATTAAAATATAAGAGCCATGGAACAATATGACATGTTTTTGTTATGTGCCCTCAAGTCGAAACCAACTTCTGGTGACCCTAATAGGGTTTTCAAGGTAAGATATTTAAGGGGTGGTTTTACCAGTTCCACTCCCACAGTGAGTTTCCATGGCTGAGTGAGGATTCGAAACCTGATCTCTAGAGCTCTAGTCTGCCACTCTGTCTACTATACCACACTGAGTAAGATATAAATACAAATATAAGTATAAAGGCTGTCCAAATAAAAGAAACAGAAACTATAAAGTGGATAGTGGTGATGGCAGTGATGGCAGCAACACATTATAACAACTACCTTTATAAAAACTTCACAGTCAAGGATCCTTCTGGTCAGATAAAATTTAAAAAATTGCTTAAAGTGTTAGCAGTTATCAGCTATTTCCTTGTTTTAGGCATTGGCACAATTTGTAACCTTAATACTCTCAGTCTGAAGGGTAATGTAAGCTGAAGTTACTCTGTAAAGTTAGATGAAATGGCAGCCAGTAGTATAACTGCTGGCTTGAATAAAGAACTGTCAGTCAAGGATAGCCATCTAGCTATTTATTTTAAAATGAGAACCTTTACTGTCCCACACCACTCGTGGCTGCGATAGTTCTGTGCAGCCAAATGCCTGCTAAAAGGATTTACTGTGCCAAGAGACACTTGCCAATTGTTCAAAGTAAGGACCTCTCTACTCTGGCAGTGAAATCTAAGCAACACCAAACATTACATTCTCTTCTGCCTGAAAAGTTACATTGACAATACTTACTCTTAGCATCTCTTTCTTTTTTTAATGTCCTATCAAGTTGCTTCCAACCTATGGACACCCTTAATAGGATTTCGAAAGTATTCGAGATACTTAACAAGTAGTTTTACCATTGCCACCTCCCAATTAGTTTCTATTGCTGAGTGAGAATTTGAACCCAGGTCTGCTGAATCCTAATCTCTCATGCAAACCATTGTACAAATGTTCTCAGAATCTTTTTTTTTTAAAAAGAAGGCTTGCCAGTCTTGCCCACCGCAGTTATAAGGAAAAAAAAATCAATTCTTGTAGAAGAATGCTTGCTAGCTGCAACAAACCGTACGCATTCCTCTATCATGTGGAAGAGTCTATGCTTTGAGGAAGAAAGGTCAGATTTTACGTATACCTGAAATTCTGGTTTACACTTCGTGGATCTGCTGAAGTGACCCATAAAGCACTTCCTGTAATAAATTAGTCTTCAATGTTATTTTTGCCGTAATAGACCAACATAGCTGCCCCTTTAAAAATGGTTTCAAACTTTATGTTTCTTTCTGAGAATGACAATGCATGGCAGTCAGAAAACACGTGGGATCAATAGTATCTTCTTACCAGGCTATGTGAAATGATTTGCATCACTTCTAGACAGTATCATTTGACATGAAAAGGAATGGTTCTTGCCATTCTAACCAAATTTGGTTGTTCAAATAAAGTTTAAAAATTGGAAATGCTCTTGGAAATGTTACAGAGGGAGCCAAAAAGTTACTTCACATGGCGTAAACATATTCCAGATTAGCCCAAGGTGTGACTGCACCTGTTGTTTTTATAGCCTCAGGCAAGCTTTAGATGTTTTGACAGCTTAAGTGAAATATTAAAATTATATTCCACTCCTTCAGTTCATTGCACTGCAAGGCCATGTGGCTGGGGACCCACACCTGTCCATATCATCATCCTGGCAGCCAATCTTGCTGTGAGCACTGATTGTTTCCCACCTCGTGGCCCTCCACAAACACTTCCAAACTTCAAATAGGCCATTGTTACTCAGCTGCCAGAGGATCACACTTTGAGTGTGCTGTGCTTACAGGGCTATTTCCCTTCTTTGGGCTGATGCTGTTATTAATCAAAATGTGGCAATTGCCGCAAGCGTCAGTGGGAGAGACAATTGCATGTTGTCAAAAAGGAAGAAAAAGCAGAAGCAGTTTTGCATAAAAGTTCATATGCTAATTTCAAAGCAGAGATGCAAAATTAGAAATGTTTTTTCTAATGTTATGGTCCTTTGCCTTTAAATTCGGCTCTGACTAACACCTTCAAATGGAGGGGACGTTCAAAAGGATGTTTGTCACTTTATAGCCCTTCAGGTGGAGGACTGTACTTCTGGAAAGAGGATGTGTGTGGTCAGCATAAAGATCAGATGCGGAGAAATAGTTGTGGTAGGCTCTGATCATTCTGCCTGAGCCCCCAGCTACTTATTTCTCGTCAAGAACTGAAGATGCCTCACGACCTACATCCCATAATCTTCATATTGAGTGGAAACCACCCTCCTGCTTCCCATCCTAAACTGAGATGAAACTGCTCATTCGTTCACTTCTGTAGATGGAATTGGGGAAGGATGACATCTTGTTCTTTTCCTCATACAGCAACATTTTTTGAGTTGTCCTTGTGCCCTTTTCCTTCCTTTCTTGTGGCCTGTAATGAAATTTACCACCCTTCATCCACCAATCACTATTTTAGATACATTATATTCTCTGCAGGGATTTTTTAAAAAGTGTATACTGTAGTTGGATAAAAAATGTGCAGCTGGAAAAAAAAGTCTAATTGGGAAAAATGTTCAGTTGGAAACTGATAGATCTGCAGATGGAGAAATACATACTTATATCTGTCTGCCCAAACTAGATACAAACAATTTCATTTTGGCCAGAATGACTTCTGTTTCACCTGTATCAGTACTGAAAATTGGCAGGCTTTTTTGACTGTAGTACAACAGACACTAGAGCAAGCACTCACCTTGAAGATTTGTGTTTGGCTTTTTGGGGGCAGGATCCAGCAAGGCATTTCTGCAGTTGGAAAATCTGTTTTAAACAAAAACAAAACAAAAAGTCACAAAAATTGTTTCCTTGTGGATGTTAACCAACCAGTAGCAAAGAGATGTCAGCCTGAAAGGTAAGTTGGCTGGTTTCCTTACAATTTGAAACAGAATCGTAACTGGGAAGGGAGCTGGTGCTATGACAACACTCAAATGACTTCTCTGAATAAAAGAATGTATTTGGGCACCTCCTAGGTTGGTCTAATTAGAAGGACATTGGCAGCAGGGGCAATTTGGTAGGGAAGAGATGTTTTCAAACAATCACACAGAATGTGTCTCACAATCCTGACGTATGCCTGCAGGATTTCTCTATGGTCACTTGAACACACAAGAGCATGAACTTTTGTGCCGATGTGTGACTAGCTGAGGTAAAATGTAGGCACAGCAATGTTGGGGCGTGTCTGTCAACGCATCCTTCTAATCTTTTATCTTGCAACACCTACGCAGCAAAAACTGCCCCCTTTGTTCCTGATAGGAAATACCCCAAAATGTGCAGTCATGAAGAACTTGTGCTATAAAGATAAAGAATGCAAGGAAAAGAGAAAGTGTGTGTGCATGCACCAGGGTGCTGGGTTTGTTGTTTGTGGTTCATAGCATCCTTCTACTACTTAGTTCAACTGCTTGGTTTAGAGTAACTTCTACGAAGGAGGGGAAAAGAAGAATGGTGGGCCAGGGTCTCCTTCAATCCCACACCCACTTGATTTCTTGACACCCAGGGAGATACTATTTTTCGGCTGACTCAATAAATGGCAAAGCATTCAGTTGTGGAATTGTGACAGGCAAAGGTCCCTTCTCCACCCAGCTACTAAGGGTGACTGTCCAGTTGACGTCAGAATTTTTTTACTTCATCTCCTGGCACCAAGATGTTATATTTATAACAGCACAGGGAGTAGTGGAACTGGAATAGGCGTGCCCATCTCTTTCCTATAACCCCCCTTTCCCCTCTTCATTTGCTTTTAAAGCTCTTCATAAGAGTATGCGTGAACAATTTTGAGGCTTGTCTCTCAGGGAGAGAGGCTAAAAACAACAGGAGAGGAGATTATTTGCGGAGCGGGCCGTGCAGGTATTTCTCTGGTCTGCCTCTGCTGCTAAAGAAGACTTCTTTCCTACTTCCCAGCCAGAAGAGAGGTGAGGCAAATGAATACCCAAGCTACCGTTATGGGACTGAGCACTAACTTTGATAAGAGGGAGTGTCGGCTCTGCGTTTCTTCAGCTTTACCTGCTGCATTGCAGCTTTCAAGTTACTTCTTCTTTTGATTGTAATGTCAGAAAGGTGAAGGATGAGTACAAAATGAGTGTCTTGAAAGCTATCCAGGGCATTCCCCCATTAGGAACCCTTGAGAAACATATCAGAATGCCAGAAGGTATAGTGGTATAATATTGACTTGGGGAAATAAGGGTGTATTTTACACTCAAATCATACCTGGCACTGAGTCAATTTCTTTTTGCCTTTTACATCCACAGCCGTGCACACTTTACAGGGTTGTAGTCTGGCTGAAATAGAATAGCCTCAGATATACTGCTTAGTGAACAACTTACCTGGGGCATGAGAGGAAAGAAGAAGTTTGGACTAGATGGTCCTTTGACTAATAAGAAACTCTTTATGTTAATATGGTTTTATGAGACTCATCGCATTTCATGTGTTTCAGTTATTTTATTTATGTTTCTGTTTATAGTTAGGTATGCAGTTGGTCACACATAATTAATTATAATTATTAAGCTTTTTGTTTATGCTTAAAGTCACTTTTCTTTGATAGTATACACAATGTGATTTACAAGAGAAAAATCATGTCAGAAATGGCACAATGGCAACATAAATGAAACCAGTATATGGCAAAGTTCTTTGATGAGGGACCTTTGTAGCGTAATGTGAGTGGTAAGAAGGGGAAAGCTGAAATGCTGGCATTTCTCTCCCCAACTGTATTGCTCCTGGTTATTTTTTTTAAATGTAATTGATTTTACTGACCGTTTCTGCAAAACAAATACCAGAGGGGTGTGCAATGCAAAATCAAGAAATCAAAGCAGGCAATAGGTTCAAACATTTTTTTCTCTGGGTGAGGATTATTTCTGATCATTGTTCCACTCTGGGAGAGAAATAGCTTGGTGCAATTTCTGAGGCGATGTTCGGAAAAGTGAAAGGGTTCCTCTCCTCCTTCACTTCCCCCCCCCCATGCTACAGTTTGAAATTGCTTCCCCCCGTTCCCCACTCTATCATGAGAAATGTATAACAAACCAATTTTGTCATATGGATCTTTTCCCATCACATCTAATTTGGCTCCAACTTGGGTGTTTTAGAGAGATGGGTTATTAAATGAGCAAAATAAGACATAGCCGTTAATGTAATATAAATATAGAAACAATAGTGCACAACACATCTAAACAAAGTCAATAACCAAATGTGTGTCTAGCACATATCACTCATGTATTTGTCACTACAATGGTACAAAAGACAGGCAATTTGTAGTCTGTAACAGTAATTCCATTCTTTCATTGCTGGTTTTATATGTGGCATGGCATTCTCTTGTCATATTTTTTGATGGTACCAAGATAGCAGCTGGCATCCATTTTCTGACCATTTCCTTGAGTATGAAACCTGCTGGGTTATAATCTCAACGTTTCTTATTTATATATACACAGTTGCATAAAGCATGCCATTGCCTCTTTCCGGTACATTTATTTTGCATTTTCACAGCTGATAAGTTTAAAAAATAGAGCACCTGAAATGAAGCTGTTTGTGTTGTGTTATAAGCCTCTTTGTGTCCCATTGGCTTCAATGCGTCTTCATCTGTTTAAATGTAAGCACTGCTATTTGGTTCCTTTGACAACTATGAGTAGCAATCATAACATGTGGAATTAAGCTCTTTGCAGTATGGAGGGTGGCAAATGAGGCAGAGAATGAATGATCTGTAAATTAGCACTGTGTATATTCACCGAAATAAATCTCAGTAAATCCAGAGTATGAGGATGGAAGTGCATAGGAGTGCAATCTTCAATTTTTAAAAAAAGAAAATTATTCTCAGCAACTGTGGTACTTGTTTCTATTTTTTAAATTTCTTTTTTATTTGAACATATAAACCTACCAACTACAAACAAAATACAGTATAAGATTAAAAAATAGAAAAAAAATGAGAAAAAAGAAAAAAAAATATTCCCCCCTCCCCCTTTGAGGACAGAGATTCCAACCTCATTAAGTCCCAGATTTCCAAGTTTTCCAGTGAGCATTGAAAGAAAGAAAAAAACATAGATCATTTTGCCCTAAGCTTTGATGTGCCCCTGCGCCCAAACATGTATTAAGTTCCAGCTTCGTTTTGCATAGTCCCTTGGTTGTTCTCGTAGTGCTTCTGAGAGTGTCCCCCTCCCCCTTTGAGAACAGAGATTCCAACCTCATTAAGTCCCAGATTTCCAAGTTTTCCAGTGAGCATTGAAAGAAAGAAAAAAACATAGATCATTTTGCCCTAAGCTTTGATGTGCCCCTGCGCCCAAACATGTATTAAGTTCCAGCTTCGTTTTGCATAGTCCCTTGGTTGTTCTCGTAGTGCTTCTGAGAGTGTGTCTAGTTCTATGATATCCAACATTCTTCAGGAACTCCTCCATCGTAGGTATGTCTTCATGTTTCCATTTTTGGGCCCAGAGTACCCTAGCCACTATAAATATATACGTCAAACAATATTTAATTTTCTTATCAGTAATTTCTGGCATAATATTTAGTACAGTGGTGCCTTGCTTGACGAGGATAATCCGTTCCAGCAAAATTGCTGTAGAACGAAATCGTCATCAAGCGAAAGTAAAAAAACCCATTGAAATGCATTGAAACCTGGTTCAATGCATTCCAATTGGAAAAATACCTCAGCGTCCAGCGAAGATCCTCCATAGGGCGGCCATTTTCCGGTGCCTGCATAGCGAGGAATCCATCCTAAAACACAGTGGGGAGCCATTTTGAAAACCCGACGATCAGCTGTTTTGATCGTTGTTAAGCAAAAAATTGGTTCCCGAAGCAGGGAACCAATTGTTGTTAAAAAAACCCATTGTTTTGCGATTTCCTCATCTAACGAGGTAAGCATCAAGCGGGGCACCACTGTAGTGCTATTTCAGGTTTGAAATTTAATTTCTTTTGAGTGACTCCTTCTATTATTTCCCACAGCTGTAACCAATAGCCCTTGGCTTTTTCACATGTCCACGACATATGATAATAAGTTCCTCCTTTTTTTAAACATTTCCAACAAATACTGCTGCTACCCTCTGACATTTTTGCGAGCTTTACAGGGGTGTAGTGCCATCTATAAAACATTTTGAGGATATTTTCTCTTAAGTTTACTGGCTTAATCATTTTATAACACTCTTTCTACATCATTGACCAATGATCAATATCAATATTATAACAAAAGTTACTTGCCCATTTTATCATCGTCTCCTTTATTCTCTCATCCTTCAGATCATATTCCAATAGATATGTATACATTTTCTTTATTATTTTCTCATCAGTGTAAATCCACAGTTTGTCTACCTGGACTTCACCCTCAAAGAAGCCCATATTTTTATCTTTTTTATATCTTGATTCTAGTTTATTCAATGACCACCAATCTGTCGCCACCCTTAGTTCCTCTAATTCTTGTTTATTTTTTTTATATTTTGTTCTCTATTAAGTAATTCTTTATATGTTAGTAACATTCCTTTCTGATTCAACACTTTCAATGTAAAAGCTTCTATAGGAGCTACCCATATTGGAATTTTCTTGTAGGTTTGTGCTTGAAATTTATGCCACACTAGGCCTAATGCTTTCCATACAATATGTTCCGTAAAGCATGATTGTTCCTTATATTTCCCATACCACACATATACATGCCAACCCATACTTAAGTCATGCCCCTCCAATTTCAATAATATTTGGTTTACTAAAGTTATCCATTCTTTTATCCATATCATAGCACACACCTTATAATATAATAACCAATTTGGTAGTCTTGCACCCCCCCCCCTTTCTTTCAAATCCTGTAATAGCTTAAGTTTTATTCTTGGTTTCTTAGTCTTCCATACAAATTTTGTTGTCAGATGATCCAAGTATTTAAAATTTAGTAATACTGGTAGATTTTGAAAGAGGAATAAAAGTTTGGGCAAAATCATCATTTTTATCATTGCAGTTCTTCCCATCAGTGACAATTGTAGCTTACTCCATTCTTCCAGGTTTGTTTCTATTGATAAATATTTAAGAGACCATTGTGTGTCCAGGGAGATGCTAAAACTAAAATCATAGATAGGATATTCTGGCAGGGAAAATTATTTGTACAGTGGTGCCCCGTATAGCGAGGTTAATCCGTTCCGGATTAACCTTCGCTATATGAAATCTTCGCTAAGCGGGAAGTAAAAAGCCATTGGAACGCATTAAACTTCATTTAATGCGTT